ATCCAGTTGATACATCCAGTTGATACATCCAGTTGATACATTCAGTTGATACATCCAGGTGATACATCCAGTTGATACATTCAGTTGATACATCCAGGTGATACATCCAGGTGATACATCCAGGATGATACATCCAGGTGATACATCCAGGTGATACATCCAGGTGATACATCCAGGTGATACATCCAGTTGATACATCCAGTTGATACATCCAGTTGATACATCCAGTTGATACATCCAGGTTGATACATCCAGTTGATACATCCAGTTGATACATCCAGGTGATACATCCAGTTGATACATCCAGTTGATACATCCAGTTGATACATCCAGGTGATACATCCAGTTGATACATCCAGGTGATACATCCAGTTGATACATCAGATGATACATCCAGGTGATACATTCAGTTGATACATCCAGGTGATACATCCAGGTGATACATCCAGTTGATACATCCAGGTGATACATCCAGTTGATACATCCAGTTGATACATCCAGGTGATACATCCAGGTGATACATCCAGTTGATACATTCCAGGTGATACATTCAGGTTGATACATTCAGTTGATACATCCAGTTGATATATCCAGGTTGATACATCCAGCTGATACATTCAGTTGATACATTCAGTTGATACATCCAGGTGATACATCCAGTTGATACATTCCAGTTGATACATCCAGGTGATACATCCAGTTGATACATCCAGGTGATACATCCAGGTGATACATCCAGTTGATACATTCCAGTTGATACATTCAGTTGATACATTCAGTTGATACATTCAGTTGATACATTCAGGTTGATACATTCAGGTGATACATTCAGTTGATACATCCAGGTGATACATTCAGGTGATACATTCAGTTGATACATCCAGTTGATACATTCAGTTGATACATTCAGGTGATACATCCAGGTGATACATCCAGGTGATACATCCAGGTGATACATCCAGTTGATACATCCAGTTGATACATTCAGGTGATACATCCAGTTGATACATTCAGGTGATACATTCAGTTGATACATTCAGGTGATACATCCAGGTGATACATCATTCAGGTGATACATCCAGTTGATACATTCAGGTGATACATACATCCAGTTGATACATTCAGTTGATACATTCAGGTGATACATTCAGTTGATACATTCAGGTGATACATCCAGTTGATACATTCAGTTGATTGATACATTCAGGTGATACATTCAGTTGATACATTCAGTTGATACATTCAGGTGATACATTCAGGTGATACATTCAGGTGATACATTCAGTTGATACATTCATTCATTCAGTTGATACATACATTCAGTTGATACATTCAGTTGATACATTCAGGTGATACATTCAGGTTGATACATTCAGGTGATACATTCAGGTGATACATTCAGTTGATACATTCAGGTGATACATTCAGGTGATACATTCAGTTGATACATTCAGGTGATACATTCAGTTGATACATTCAGTTGATACATTCAGTTGATACATTCAGTTGATACATTCAGTTGATACATTCAGTTGATACATTCATACATTGATATACATTCAGTTGATACATTCAGTTGATACATTCAGGTGATACATTCAGTTGATACATTCAGGTGATGATACATTCAGTTGATACATTCAGTTGATACATTCAGTTGATACATTCAGTTGATACATTCAGGTGATACATTCAGGTGATACATTCAGTTGATACATTCAGTTGATACATTCAGTTGATACATTCAGGTGATACATTCAGTTGATACATTCAGGTGATACATTCAGTTGATACATTCAGGTGATACATTCAGTTGATACATTCAGTTGATACATTCAGTTGATACATTCAGTTGATACATACATCCAGTTGATACATTCAGTTGATACATTCAGTTGATACATTCAGTTGATATTCATTACAGTTTGATACATTCAGTTGATACATTCAGTTGATACATTCAGTTGATACATTCAGTTGATACATTTCAGTTGATACATTCAGTTGATACATTCAGTTGATACATTCAGGTGATACATTCAGTTGATACATCAGGTTGATACATTCAGTTGATACATTCAGGTGATACATTCAGTTGATACATTCAGTTGATACATTCAGTTGATACATTCAGTTGATACATTCAGTTGATACATTCAGTTGATACATTCAGGTGATACATTCACATTCAGTTGATACATTCAGGTGATACATTCAGTTGATACATTCAGTTGATACATTCAGTTGATACATTCAGGTGATACATTCAGTTGATACATTCAGTTGATACATTCAGGTGATACATTGATACATTCAGTTTGATACATTCAGGTGATACATTCAGTTGATACATTCAGTTGATACATTCAGTTGATACATTCAGGTTGATACATTCAGGTGATACATTCAGTTGATACATTCAGGTGATACATTCAGTTGATACATTCAGTTGATACATTCAGTTGATACATTCAGGTGATACATTCAATTGATACATTCAGTTGATACATTCAGGTGATACATTCAGTTGATACATTCAGTTGATACATTCAGGTTGATACATTCAGGTGATACATTCAGTTGATACATTCAGGTTGATACATTCAGTTGATACATTCAGTTGATACATTCAGTTGATACATTCAGTTGATACATTCAGGTGATACATTCAGTTGATACATTCAGTTGATACATTCAGTTGATACATTCAGTTGATACATTCAGTTGATACATTCAGGTTCATTGATACATTCAGTTGATACATTCAGTTGATACATTCAGGTGATACATTCAGGTGATACATTCAGGTTGATACATTCAGTTGATACATTCAGTTGATACATTCAGTTGATACATTCAGTTGATACATTCAGTTGATACATTCAGTTGATACATTCAGTTGATACATTCAGTTGATACATTCAGGTGATACATTCATACATTCAGTTGATACATTCAGTTGATACATTCAGTTGATACATTCAGTTGATACATTCAGTTGATATTCAGTTGATACATTCAGTTGATACATTCAGTTGATACATTCAGTTGATACATTCAGTTGATACATTCAGTTGATACATTCAGTTGATACATTCAGTTGATACATTCAGGTGATACATTCAGTTGATACATTCAGTTGATACATTCAGTTGATACATTCAGGTGATACATTCAGTTGATACATTCAGTTGATACATTCAGTTGATACATTCAGGTGATACATTCAGTTGATACATTCAGTTGATACATTCAGTTGATATCCAGGTGATACATTCAGTTGATACATTCAGGTGATACATTCAGTTGATACATTCAGTTGATACATTCAGTTGATACATTCAGTTGAGGTTGATACATTCAGTTGATACATTCAGTTGATACATTCAGGTGATACATTCAGTTGATACATTCAGTTGATACATTCATTGATACATTCAGGTGATACATTCAGTTGATACATTCAGTCAGTTCAGATGATACATTCAGGTGATACATTCAGGTGATACATTCAGTTGATACATTCAGTTGATACATTCAGTTGATACATTCAGTTGATACATTCAGTTGATACATTCAGGTGATACATTCAGTTGATACATTCAGTTGATACATTCAGTTGATACATTCAGTTGATACATTCAGGTGATACATTCAGTTGATACATTCAGTTGATACATTCAGGTGATACATTCAGGTTGATACATTCAGGTGATACATTCAGTTGATACATTCAGTTGATACATTCAGTTGATACATTCAGTTGATACATTCAGGTGATACATTCAGGTGATACATTCAGATACATTCAGGTGATACATTCAGTTGATACATTCAGTTGATACATTCAGGTGATACAGTTGATCATTTGATACATTCAGTTGATACATTCAGATACATTCAGTTGATACATTCATTTTTACATTCAGTTGATACATTCAGTTGATACATTCAGTTGATACATTCAGTTGATACATTCAGTTGATACATTCAGGTGATACATTCAGTTGATACATTCAGTTGATACATTCAGTTGATACATTCAGGTGATACATTCAGGTGATACATTCAGTTGATACATTCAGGTGATACATTCAGTTGATACATTCAGTTGATACATTCAGTTGATACATTCAGTTGATACATTCAGTTGATACATTCAGTTGATACATTCACATACATCAGTTGATACATTCAGTTGATACATTCAGTTGATACATTCAGTTGATACATTCAGTTGATACATTCAGGTGATACATTCAGTTGATACATTCAGTTGATACATTCAGTTGATACATTCAGGGTGATACATTCAGGTGATACATTCAGTTGATACATTCAGTTGATACAGTTGATACATTCAGGTGATACATTCAGTTGATACATTCAGTTGATACATTCAGTTGATACATTCAGTTGATACATTCAGGTGATACATTCAGTTGATACATTCAGTTGATACATTCAGTTGATACATTCAGTTGATACATTCAGTTGATACATTCAGTTGATACATTCAGGTGATACATTCAGGTGATACATTCAGGTGATACATTCAGTTGATACATTCAGGTTGATACATTCAGTTGATACATTCAGGTGATACATTCAGGTGATACATTCAGTTGATACATTCAGGTGATACATTCAGTTATACATTACATTCAGTTGATACATTCAGGTGATACATTCAGGTGATATTCAGGTACATTCAGGTGATACATTCAGGTGATACATTCAGTTGATACATTCAGTTGATACATTCAGTTGATACATTCAGGTGATACATTCAGTTGATACATTCAGTTGATACATTCAGCTGATACATTCAGGTGATACATTCAGGTGATACATTCAGGTGATACATTCAGTTAATACAGTCACGGAATGCTCGGCTATAGATCTGTTGATACTGGTAGCCCATGTTGAAGTCGGTATGTCTATGTGTACAGACCGGATCCATTTCTGACATAAAACGTCAAACAATAACTGTTTTTCAGGTATCGATCTGGGGTTTCCTACTTTCTTCAGAGAATTGGGAGAAGGAGAAGTCTCGCCACCAGGAGACTGTGTCACAACAAGCCCTCCGGGAGATACAATCTATGGAACATGGAGTAACGCGGAATGTACAACAAGACTATTCACCATATGTCACACAAATACAAGTAAGTACAGTAAGTGTGAACGTCATATCAAGGTTTCATAAAGTAATTCTGCATTGATAAGTCTGTTTATTACCCATTTAGCTCTTTGTTTCCCGAGAATATCTGACAGAGTGAGTGAGTTTGGTTTAACGCCGCTTTTAGCAATATTCCAATATATCACGGCGGGGGACACCAGAAATTGGCTTCACACATTGTGTCGATGTGGGGAATCGAACCCGGGTCTTCAGCGTGACGAGCGAACGCTTTAACCACTAAGCTAGGAAAATTATGGAGGTCATGTTCTTTGCCACGTTTCAGCACAAACAAATCTGTCAAAAATGTTGATACTTTGGCAATTAACAAATTAATTACTTGAAAACAATATCTAATTAAAACGAATGAAAAAAAGTGAATATGCCATTGCAAAATCCAAAAGTGAAAATTTTATATTTCCTGTTATTCTAAAGGTTCGTGACTTTCCGGATTTTCATGTGCACAATATTAGCACGATCCTGCCACAACTGAAAGCATCCACATGCGGAAGGAAGGCGGATAACATTCCACCATGTCACCATGCACGTCCTCAAAACACAACCTGTGTATACTACAAACATGTCTCTATTGCTTACACCAGGTTCTCTACATCGGTGGACAACAACAGCAGCTCGGCAAAAACCAACGTCTACAACCACCTCTACAACTACATCAACATCCACCTCTACACCCACCTCTACAACCACCTCTACAACTACATCTACATCCACCTCTACACCCACCTCTACATCCACCTCTACACCCACCTCTACAACCACCTCTACAACCACCTCTACAACTACATCATCTACAAACCTCTACAACCACCATCTACAACCACAACTCTACAACTACATCTACACATCCACTCTAAACCCAACTCTCAAGACACAAACTCAACTGTCAACCACAGTAAATGCAACTCCATCCAAGACACAAAACCAATGTCAAACGAGATAAACAAGGACGCAATTTTCGTAACTATTGTGCCTTAGGGACCGTTCTTAATTTATGGCTACGGTGTGTGTGTGTGTGATGTGTGTGCGTGCGTGTGTGTGTGTGTGTGTGTGTGTTTGTGTGTGAGAGAATGATTTTAAGTAAGTGTGTGTGTGTGTGAGAGAGAGTGTGAGATAATGATTTTAAGTAAGTGTGTGTGTGAATGTGAGATAATGATTTTAAGTAAGTGTGTGTGTGTGTGAGAGAGATAATGATTTTAAGTAAGTGTTGTGTGTGTGTGTGTGTGTGTGTGTGTGTGTGTGTGTGTGTGTTAGTGTGTGTGTGTGTGTGTATGTGTGTAGGGAGGTAGGGGTGTCATTTGGTGATTGTAATTCTGTACACAAGTATGGGGGCGAGGATGGGTGTTAGCAATTTTGTACATAAAATAATGTCCCTTAATGCAGAATGTCAATTTAATATACTATTTCGATGACACATTTGCTACAGGTTGAGGTACCTTTTTGAAGTCAGTGTTTGTAGACATAGTAACATCTCTACCCAAACGTCACAATGATTAACATACACTGATATCCTGTCCATCCTATTTCATTGGCATCAAAGTTTCCTGATGGCGTGTAAGCTAAATTTAAACGTTAAGCGAAATGCGACTATCTGCCGAAATAGAGCATTTGGTCGTAAAAGGCAGAATATCCGTGACAGTTAGATAAATGGACGAGCGAACGCTTTAACCACTAGGCTACCCCACCTGGTACCACCGATGAGACAGGGTAGGCAATACCACGCTTACTTACTGATTTGTGTGCTCATACTGTTATACAATCCCACTCGTACATTGGTTTCTTGTGACTATAAAAGGCTCTCGTTTATCACCAAGCACGTGCCTTATTCCACAGATTCAACAACTGTTTGTGTTTCAGTCCTTATCCCCGTCACTTCCGGTGTTGCGGTTGTAGCTGCCGTGGCCGTAGTTGGGGTTGTAATTATTCTGTGTCGAAGGTAATATCTACTAAAGTTTCGTAATTGTTCTAGGAGATAACACTTACTTAAGTGTTGTTACTGTTGCCTGTCGTGAGTTGGGTTTTGCATCACCTTTAACACTGTAGGCGGTGTGTCGGGTACGGTAGGAATGCCCGAGGTGCTGCTACTACGGATGTGGAACTTTTACGTCCGCTTCCCGACATGACGCGTGTTTCGCACAAGGAGGATATGCTCTCCGTTCTCAGACATTCATGGTATTGCTGAAACCCACGAGAACAGGCATGGTGCTGATGTACCGAGGAACATAATCGAAAAATAAGGAATTGGAACCCACAATAACCTTACGTGTTGTAATTGTTCGAGGCGGTAGAGTGAGTGAGTGAGCATGGTTTCACGCCACTTTTAGCAATATTCCAGCAATATCACAGCGGGGGACACCAGAAATGGGCTCCACACATTGAACTCATCTGGGGAATCGAACCCGGCTCTTCGGTGTGACCAGCGAACACTTTACCCACTAGGCTACACCACCGCCCCTCGAGACTCCGTAGTGGCTCCGGGTAAGGACATGCACGAGTCTTCCACAGAAACTTGTGCTTGTCTCAAGAGGCGACTGAATTAATCACTATCTTAAACTGTGAGGATAGTACGCTCATCGGATCTTATTTGTGTGATTCTCATCATGTCAATCACCGGATTGTCTGGTCCAGATTGGATAATTATACAAATCTCTGTCATAAGGCTCGAATATTGGAGTGCGGCGTTACACCAGAAACAATCCTACTTTTAATTGTGAAATGTTCGTTTTTCCGTGAAGGTTGCATAACCCACTCATTTGTCAGGTCATGTTTTCGTATCCTTCCACAAACAGGATATAAGTAAGGCATTGTTCCCAAAGTTATATTAAAAGTTGAATGTTCTTTTATACATTAATATATGAATAATAGTTTGTTTAACTAACGGACGCCATAGGAGCCTATGTGAGGGTATAGTGAACCTAATGCTAGTTTATTAGTTCAGTGTGGTGTCATGTGTGTAAACAGATAAATGCATACATATGGTGAATCCTGAATGGTTTCAGAAACAAGGCGAAACGACTGCGTGTCAGGACTATTGACACAGATGCTGGTGACGACCGTGAATCCGGAGACGTGAGTACAAAGCCGACGGTAGTGTACGCTGTCGTCACCCCAGGAAGGAAGAGAGAGACATCCCAGGCTCCAAGTTATGATGCTGATCCCGGCTATCACTACATACCGGTGGACGGCGAGGATTCCGCGGGGCAAGGCGTCACTGACCCAATGTATGACACAGCAACAGCCCCACAGGGGAAACAACAAGTCACCCTCGACAACACATACGACCGAGCTATGTTCCGCCAGTCAGGGGATGGCGTATACGACCACACGAGTCTGACCCGGAAGTCACCACAAGTACATGACACAAGCCATTACGACCATGCTATTGTCCAATAACAATTTCGAAAAAAAAATCACTGGTTAAAGATTGACATGTACATATTTGCAAACCATGCATTATATTTACACCCACGTTGCTGTTCTTTTGTAAATATGTTTACCTTCCATTTATAGCATCATCATCTAGGTAATAAAGAATTGTTCATGTGTATATTCAAACAAAGATGTAAAGATATCTATTATCAAGAGTGGTCAGCTACTGTGACTACTTCCAAATATTTACGCACATATTCAACCTATAAACTTGACATAATGCCGGAAACTTACCTACGAGTCTTGCCCTCGGCTCATTTGCGTAGAGCACTGACCAAATTTCGATGTGGTATTGCTGGTTTTAACATACAATTATACAGAAGATCGAAAAGTGCAGATATCGCAATTGCCATGTGTCCACATTGCCTTAATAAATTAGAAAATGAATACCATGTATTACTAGAATGTCCATTGTACAACGATCTACGGAAAAAAATATCTACCATGTTATTACTACACCAACCCCAACTATCACAAGTTTGTAACTCTTCTGAATTCAAAATCAGCCAATATACTAGTACGTTTAGCTGTGTATTGTACAAAAGTACCATCACATACAGTTCATATGTGAATCAATGTCCAGGCGCTCCGGACTCTTTACTATTATGAATGTTGATGTACTGTTGGCCTCATGGCCATCCATACAAATAAAATCATCTGTCTGTCTGTCATCATCTATCTGAAAAGTCTTGTTTGTTTGTTTGTTTGTTTTTTGTTTTGTTTGTTAAGCATTCAGCACTACTCCACCTGTACGGCGACGATCTATAGGCCGTCAGACTGTGGACCAAACACACACGTGATGGTAATCGATGCTGACAACTGATGACAATCACTTCATTGTCTGGTCCAGACTAAATACAGGCTGGAATATTGCTGAATGTCATTTATCGGGTAGTGAAACCCCGTGATTCGGCCACCTAGGATGGTTAGGGAACTGCCGTTTAACATCATATTCCTAATCCAGACCACTCTCACGCACTGTTCTGGGTTGTTCGGGGGATGTGGGTCCACATAGCTGGGTGGACGTCGACCCAGAGACATACATCCTGTGGGGCGCGGGGTCGTGGCTGCCACATGTACAGGGGTGGGGTGGGGGTGATGTTCGGCGGGGGGTGGTGGGGGTTGTTGTCCATATAGCAAGGTGGACGTCGACCCAGAGACATACCTCCTGTGGGGCGCGGGGTCGTGGCTGCCACATGTACAAGCTCAAGGAACAAGAATTAGTATGAGCTCAGAATGGCCGATTCTGTCGCTAAACCTTGGATATCGTAGTAACCGAGACTGCATTTCGCCTGAAGCTTGTCGACGTCTTCCTGCAGAGATCGGGAGAGTAGGGGATAGAGACCCGGGTTCGATTCCACACATGGGTACATTGTGTGAAGCCCATTTCTGGTGACAACACAAATAGATATTAGAGATGCACATACACCTAAGGACGCCCAATGTGTAAGTAAATGAGTGAGTGAGTTTAGTTTTACGCCGCTTTTAGCAATATTCCAGCTAGATCACGGCGGGGGACACCAGAAATGGGCTTCACACATTGTGCCCATGTGGGGTGCAATGTGCAGTGAGTTGGCTTAACACCGAGTTGAACAGTGGCAAAATAGAAAACATAGAGTAACTTCTGGACATTGTCTTCCTTCCTTGTTGAATGCATTGCAGAATAAAGACTAAAACAAACGACCAAATGCAGCTGTTTAGACTTATCTTTAGTGAACAATGTCGTGAATGTACATCACAATATCCACATTCGCGATTTAGAATGTGTTCGAGCCGGAACCTCGCGATCCGTACACAGAAGAGCCTGCGGAAGTATCTGGAGATTGAACTGCAGCGACAGGTTTGGTCATCACAGCAGCCTCTAGCTGGCCAATGGAGCCGATGAAGGACTTGGCTTGTCTACACATTGATGTGATCATCCCAGCAAAGAACAACTTCCGGTATCCATTAGGACCTGACTCCTTGATCTCCGTCATAAAACCGTGGATGTTACCCGACATTAATTCCTTTAAGCCAGGAGTGTTGTTAAAGACCTCCATCGGGTCGCCGTAGAGTGGCTGTACCGGATACCCGAGCACACTAGAAAGAACATGCAGATACACATTTATATCATTGCGAATTGTGGTAAAGCATGAAAAACGTGAAATCTATTTAGTCGGGCCAACTTGTTGGCGCAATGGCAACTTCGGATGTTTCCAACTTTGATAACTCGAGATTTGTTTTTATTTGGCATTTAGGTTTAAGTTATATCTAGCTTCCCATTTCTAATGGCCTTTAATACAAAAGGAAGGCTTATTATTCACACATGGTATCATCATCAATACCTTTCATAAATTACGTTCCACTATCACTTGAGAATACATACGGCAGATATTTCCAACTAACGAATCAAGCAAAGGCGTGGTTCGTGTGAAGCCAGCAAATGCTCTGACCAACGAGCGCGCAGCTTACGTCAGACGAAGGGCAAAGTTCGTGGCTCGTGTAACACGTCCACGGCAGTGATGTGGCTGTCTGCTCATGGCCTTGCTTTTCTGTACAACTATGACAGTTTTCGCACACAATTCATGCACATAGGCAGACACGGGAACATGAAGTTAGAAACGGATTCGGGATTGGGGATTCGAATCCCGAATCTGAATATTTTTTTCACATTTGGGATTCGAATCCCAAATCTGAATATTTTTTTCATTTCGGATTCGATATACGAATCTGAATTTTTTTCCATTTGGGATTCGAAATCTGAATATTTTTTTCACATTTGGGATTCGAATGATGAATCTGAATTTTTTGTTCATATTCGGATCCCGAATCTGAATATTCTTTTTCAGATTCGGTATATTTGCACATTCGACACTCGGCATTCGGTATTTGAACTCTTATATTTCATCCCCTTCTAAAGTACAAGGTGCTCGTTGTATACCTGGGTAATTACAGTTTCCGATATTTCAACCTCAAATCTGAGTTTTCTCAACATTCGGGTTTCGGGATTTTAATCCCGAATCTGAATATTTTTTCCAGATTCGGATATTCGAATCCCAAATCCAAATCCCCAATTACGAATCCGTTTCTAACTTCATGTTCCCGGCAGACACACACCTCTACACACACGAACCTCGGTGCCTCGGGCCACTGGGTCCATCATGTATCGCATCAACATACAGGAAATTGTTACCTTTGCATTTTGCCATTGATTACTGAACACTTGCAGAGTTTCAGAAACTGTTTAGTGATCCAGAAGGGGCAGCTGGAGGAGGAAGGTTTAGTTCGTTCCCCGTTCGGACTGTCCTCTTCATCGTCCAGAGTATCCTCCTCATCGTCACTGTCATCCTCATCCTCGTCGTCATCGTCATTCTCGAAGTCGTCATCGTCATCGTCATTGTAGTCGTTGTAACGTGTGTCCAATTTGTCCTTTCTGGCGTCCAACAAGTCATCCAACTTTCTGTGAATGCCCATCATATAGTGAAACCAGATGACCTTGGCCAACGGACCACCCATTCGCCGACGCCGCCATCTGGGACCACCATGGTGGTCAACTGGTGACCTGAACATACCCATCTTCTTTACAGTATGTGTAATGTTGACCTGACCAGACAACTTCAAGTTCATCGTGGGAGTCCCAGGGACGAGATTTTTAGAAATCCCACGAACCAACGGACACCAACCAAGGTGATCTAGACAAAGGCCCAGCTCCCTGAAGGGATTGTTTCAGTCTACTTGTGTCATACTGGTCCCTCTCTGGAGGCATGTAGGTTCCCTGATCTGCCGTGGAAGACCCGCCTTCACCCTCATCAAAGTCATCCCCTGCGCTGAAAAGTTTATACATATATGAACGTAAACATAGATGGATCTTACCAGATCAACCCCAGGTAACAGTTTTTCACATAACGTCGCATTTAAAACAAATTCAGTTGTGTGACGGTGACCTGTACAGGATCGAGTTTGGACCAGACAAACCAACGTTTGATCAGCAACGAGGCACGCTGTTCCAATCAATGATTATGCGATCATTAAGAATTCTCTTACAATAATAAGCTGTTGCTTAGGACATGTTGTGACGAGTCGTCTACCCACTTGGGTTAATAGTATTCCTAAACATATAGGATCAATTATCTACACTGGCATATTGGTGGTATGGCTTTTTGTCAGGTTTGGTTGTTTTTAGGTTTTTTGTTTTTGGGGTTTTTTCGGCTTTTTGGGGGGTGGTAGTGGGGGTGTTTACTAAAAGGTGACAACCAAAGGACAGCACTTATTACATTTTGCATATTGGGTGGATAAAGGGGTACACTTTCTGTAATGTACATGGTAAGGTAGCTTCGTGTTGTAGTAGTGAAGGTCTGACGTTACTTCCTGTGGTGGTACCTGAGATACTTGCTGTAGTGGAAGTCTCCCGCTACCAGTGGGAGTAGAGCGACCAGAAGCAGGAGCTGCATCCTCCTGCTGTAGAGATGTGCAATAATGGTGAACTTGTACTGTTTGAGTTGTCTGCTCTTGACCTGACTCAACACCTACAGGTATTCCAGCTGAAAGACAGAAAACGTCCAATGTCTGGACCAGACAAACCAATGATATGGCTGAAGTATTGCCGTGGCGTAATGTTTAGACTCACGGTGACACGGCTCGGACTATGTCTCCGATTGTGGTTTGTAGCTACCTCTGCTAATTTGGTTCACCTTTGTATTGAACTGGAAACCATGGACATAGGCATGGTGCTGACAAACCTGGAACCATAAGCTGGGGCGTAACACGGCATCGCTAATTGCCGCGCCTTAGATGACAGGACTGGGGTGTAACACTGCATCGCTAATTGCCGCGCCTTAGATGACAGGACTGGGGCGTAACACTGCATCGCTAATTGCTGGGCCTTACACGACAGGACTGGGGCGTAGCACTGCATCGCTAATTGCCGCGCCTTAGATGACAGGACTGGGGCGTAACACTGCATCGCTAATTGCCGCGCCTTAGATGACAGGACTGGGGCGTAACACTGCATCGCTAATTGCCGCGCCTTAGATGACAGGACTGGGGCGTAACACTGCATCGCTAATTGCCGCGCCTTAGATGACAGGACTGGGGCGTAACACTGCATCGCTAATTGCCGCGCCTTAGATGACAGGACTGGGGCGTAACACTGCATCGCTAATTGCCGCGCCTTAGACACAGGACTGGGGCGTAACACTGCATCGCTAATTGCCGCGCCTTAGACAGAGCGAACCCATACATCATACCTTAACCTGCACATGATAACGGATAGCGACATGTAATACGTGAAGCTTGTATGTGGTACGCTAAATCTAACATTGCACTATTCCGAATGCATTAGGAGATGTTCAGTAATCATCTATCGGGGAATGTACACGAGATCTTTGGTTTATATTCAGAACGTTTAGTTTCGTTTCTTACAAATTGCAAGTTGTATTCCGAATATATCACGAGTCACAACATAGGATTGTTAACATATTTTACAGCCTCTACAATTTGTAATATACTCCCCCAGTAGTGGCTTACTTGAGCCTTTAGTGGATTGCCACGCATACCTTGAACATCGCAGGAAACATTCCTCTCTGTAGCGTTGAGTTAACGGTACATGTATTATCTCAGGGATAATTACAAGTAGGAAGAACATTTCTATAACTTCCACGGTAAATCCATCAACTCAGGTGCTATATATACATGTAGGTGTGTTTTGTGATTGTTTATCACTTGCAGAGAATCTATTATTTTGAAAACTCTCTTTGTCCACATTCATTGCAGTTTCCCAAAACGTCTTCAGTTTTTCGTGATTTCGTGAACTGCAACTGGAACGGAATTCGTTAACATCTTCCAGGTCACCCAGCTGTTGAAGACCCGTGTCATTGACGTACGGGTTGCCAGTGTTTAATTGTCTTGTACATAGATACAATTGCAAGTACCTATATTAAACAGGACACATGCTTAATAAAGGTAGACACACCTACTGCACGGTATACACGTGCTTTGTAAATACACAGAAACATGCCTGAAAAGAAGAAGGATGCCGACATCCATAAACAAACGCTAATGACACACAGAGACAAATGGACTCCACGATATTCTCACTTACTTTCCTCCTGGCCCAAACCAAACCCACCTGTTCGCAGTCCAGCAAGAACTAAGCTGGTGTTTGTCGTCGGGTCTTGTTTTAATATGAAATGACGATGTGTTGCCATAATGATTATATCCAGCAAATGTGATTATGGCATGTCAGCAGCATTGTAGGTGTATGTTGTGTACGGCCTTGGTCCAGAGTTTCCCAGGCGTCACTTGTATTCCACCACTGACTGACATTAGCCATTAGGTCGTGAACACTGTTCGTACGTGCAAGGTATGTATGTTCGGCCCATCATGGACGTTAAGCGTGATTCTTGGCATGGGAAATTGCTGCCCTTGAACACGATCAAACTCTAAGTATGGAAGCAATGCATACATTCACCTGCTGTAGGGTGAATAGGTTTAATGTGGAGTTTGACGTTTGTGCACTAATATATTTGAATATACATGCATGCATGCATGCATACATACATACATACATACATACATACATACATACATACATACATACATACATACATACATACATACATATATACACACACACATACATACATACATACATACATACATACACACATACATACATACATACATACATACATACATACATACATACATACATACATACATACATACATACATACATACATACATACATACATACATACATACATACATGGATACATACATACATGTCTACATACACATACATACATGTATTTTATGGATAGTATAGGAATGTGACAATTGGTAGTGTAGATCAGACAGTTTGTGTACCCTCTGAGTGGGACAGACAGCCAGTTTGTGTGTGACCGACAGTTTGTGTGTGAGTGGGACAGACAGTTTGTGTGTGAGTAGGACAGACAGTTTGTGTGTGAGTAGGACAGACAGTTTGTGTGTGAGTAGGACAGACAGTTTGTGTGTGAGTAGGACAGACAGTTTGTGTGTGAGTAGGACAGACAGTTTGTGTGTGAGTAGGACAGACAGTTTGTGTGTGAGTAGGACAGACAGTTTATTTGTGTGAGAGTAGGACAGACAGTTTGTGTGTGAGTAGGACAGACAACCAGTTTGTGTGGACAGACAGTTTGTGTGTGAGTAGGACAGACAGTTTGTGTGTGAGTAGGAGAGCGAGTTTGTGTGTGTGTAGGACAAGCAGTTTATGTGGTATTGACACAGCCAGGTCGGGAAGAGTGATTTGTTTCGACACAAGGGGACTTTTTCGTGTATCAGTTCCTCCAGACCTAAATCCCCCCTCGTGTTCATCTGTTCTTTACAATTAGGATAGTGGAGTAGCTGGGTGGTTAAGTGTTCTCTAGTCACTCGGGTTCAATTCCCGAAATGGGTACAATATGTGAAACCCATTTCTGGTGTCTCCTACCTTGATATGGCTGGAATATTACTAAAAAAAGGCGTGAACCCCAATTCACTCACTCACTCAAGACTAGATTATCCACAGCCATAATATGACCGGTATTTAGGTCAATACGGCATTAACTTCATCTGTAATGTTTAACCATCCTTCCGGAACACAACACAATACTAAAATCGGTATATGTAAAAATTTATTCTGTAAAACCATAAATTTCTCTTGTGATTTCATATTTGACAATCGTCAAATACACGATAGTTGACCACGCAAACAGGGCACTCTCATCTGGAAGTAAACATGGAAAAATCATACACTATGTATGCTTAGGCACTACAGCTGTTTGTCTGGATGACTCAATAAGCAGTCGCCTGCCGGCAGGTCTTCAGGTCATCGGTATTTGTGTTAACGAAGAAAAGCGTATATAATCAATCAATCAATCAAATGTTTATTAACGTCTCACCTGTGTACATAAAATCACGCTCATAAAACATCATAGAGTACAAAAGTTAAAACAGAGGGTACACAGCCAATCGCCCAGCGATTTATGAGAGACGATGAAAGACTAGTATAATGATTCATGATATCATATGTACATATATTAAAGTAGACGGTGTATACAAAAAATAACTATATAAGAGCTCTTTCCGTTTGGCTAAACTAGAGTGACGGGTGCTGGCAGTATCAGAAACAATATCTGGTGTACTTAAAATGCGGATAAACTTATCACGATCCGGTAAAACACTAAAATCATCCCAGAAATCTTCACAAACGTTTAAAAGGTTTTCACGTTCTGCAGCAAAGACGGGGCAAATTCGACGTGTAGTTCTACTTCAAGCTGGTTTATACAATTAAAAAAGTGTAACTTTCCATAAATCTGAACTCACCCCTGCTCAGTTGTTGTCCTCACGGCGGCGTTTCATGTGGTGCATGTGTTGCTTAACGACATCGAGCACGTTGGTATTGTCGGGGAGTGAGCGCTTACGGCCAGCACCTGTATAAAAATATTGACTTTACTGACCACGTACTTGAATTCATAGGATGGAACTGGCGAGTATTGCTGTCTGCTGTATCACGCCGTGGCTGGCTGTAAGTAACATAGTCTGGGTCGCACTCAACAATATTCCAGCAACATGGCGGCTGGCTGTAAAGCAACATGGCGGCTGGCTGTATAGTCTGGGTCGCACTCAACAATATTCCAGCAACATGGCGGCTGGCTGTAAGTAACATAGTCTGGGTCGCACTCAGCAATATTCCAGCAACATGGTGGCTGGCTGTAAGTAACATAGTCTGGGTCGCACTCAGCAATATTCCAGCAACATGGTGGCTGGCTGTAAGTGACATAGTCTGGGTCGCACTCAGCAATATTCCAGCAACATGGCGGCTGGCTGTAAGTAACATAGTCTGGGTCGCACTCAGCAATATTCCAGCAACATGGTGGCTGGCTGTAAGTAACATAGTCTGGGTCGCACTCAGCAACATTCCAGCAACATGGTGGCTGGCTGTAAGTAACATAGTCTGGGTCGCAACATAGTTTGTAAGCCAGGGGACAGATCAGTGATTGTGACGACAAGCAATCAACCAGTTACCGAGCTCCGTGGGCTATGTGCCAGGGAGAAAGCATCCTCACAGACACCCCCACAGAAGAAAGTACAAACGTCTCAGTGAATACACAATGCCATTTTGAAAGTCATAACACATGTTATGTTGGGATTACATTTTCTCAGTGAAGTGAGGGTTGGAATTCCGGATGGCACTCTACCAAATAAAAGTACTAGAATCTGTACTTTACTGGCTAAATATAAGCCCCATAATAATATACTCTCCCAAAAAAGAAACGCATCATGAAAATAGCAATTTCATGTAGCAATGAATTAAAACGTGATTCATTTTACAAAAGGTTTTGCTCTGTTTATGAGTCCTATGGTGTTTATGTTTTGAAACATCACAACAAAACGCACCATCCGTAAAATACCCGTATTTAACAGCATGATTTTCAATTTCGGCGTGTAGTGTCACAGAATACACAATTCACATGCAATGTACGTGAAAGTTGGGGATCAGATAGTCTCAATGATGGGTATAAAAGGTTGATCGCTGTCTGTCGATTATTCACTGCATTTGGAATATTGTTGACGAACGCAAAATGCCACATGTAAGTGAAGCCAACCGTCATATCACCATTGGTTCGCTTGAAGCTGGCCAGTCTCAACGTGCAGTTGCCCGACGCATGAATGTTCACCAAAGCACCATTTCATGGCTCTGGGAGAGATATCGCCGGCAGAATGCGGTAGCAGATGCCCCTGGTAGTGGGCGACCTCGAGCGACCACTGCGGCGCAGGATCGCTACATCCGGGTACATCACCTGCGTCATCGAACAGCTACGGCGACCAGTACCGCTCGACAAATACCCGGATTGAGGAGGCTTTCTGCACAGACCGTCAGGAACAGGTTGAAAGAGGCTGGTTTACGTGCCAGAAGACCTTATTTTGGCCCTGTGCTTCGACAACAACATCGTCGACATCGAGTTCAATGGTGTACCAACGTTCAGGCCTGGAACCTACCGAATTGGCGTAGAATCTGGTTCAGTGATGAATCACGATTTCTATTGGAACGACGCGAACGTTTCGCCGACGCTTGCGTTCCCCAGGTGGACAGATTCGGCTGGGAAAGTGTTATGATGTGGGGAGCGATCACCTGCCGTAGGAGAAGTGATTTGGTGATGATCCAGGGCAACCTGACAGCTCAACGGTACTGTGACGAAATCCTACGCCCACACCTCCTTCCAATCATTGATCGCCAGAGGGAGTTGTTTCAACAGGACAATGCCAGGCCCCACACAGCACGTCACACTAGAGACCACAACATCAATGTGCTCCCCTGGCCCTCCAGATCACCGGACTTAAACCCGATCGACCATCTGTGGGATGCCCTGGACAGACGGGTGCGACGCCGTAACCCTCAGCCCCAGACACTTCAGCAACTCGCACAGGCACTACAGGCAGAGTGGGCTGCGATTGGGCAACACGAGATTCTGAGACTTATTCGTTCGATGCCGAGGCGATGCCGTGCAGTTCTGGATGCCCACGGTGGTCACACGAGGTATTGACTTCAGCGCCACCACACGTCTCCATGTGACACTCAAACTGACTTTCCTCGAGTTGGTGCCAAAGACGGATAAGTCTGCATTCCCAGTGTGCAATTTCGCTATATTTCATTGACTCATAAAGCCTACAAGATGTTTAAAAATAAACATAAAAATACAGTTGAAATTCCTATATGCGTTTCTTTTTGGGAGACTATATTGGTTAACCGCATCAATTACGTTATTTATAAAATGTATTGAACTTTCACCATTTACGAAGTTTAGATTTCTTCGACTGAACAGGGAAAGCATCTTTACACGGAACACCGTGTGTGTGTGTGTCTGTGGGGGGATAGGAGGATGTGGGGGTATGTTTAGGGGGTGAGGGTGCATTGTATCCCCTAGCTACGATCCCACCTTCAGCTAGGCAAGATGACAATGACGCGTATAACGGGCGTGTATACATGTATACTTACACATGCTGTACAGATGGTTTCTCATATACTGGAAGTTGCCGACAATCATTTGAATGTGAGGATTACGGCGACAGTTGTGCTTCAGCGTGTCCATACAGTTGACCATCGTCATGGCTGCCCTACAACATCGAGGTGTGACATATATGTACACTTTGTCCTCCCACGCCTTCGAGATAAGTAAATAAAACCCCAACATCATTGATCAACTACTTGCCCAGATTTGTCTTCTGTACCATCCAAAATTTAGCATTCCATTTAGCATGTCGGTATTAAAATTGACCACTGCACTATGTAATAATCTGTATATAGCATACCACTGAAGTCGGGTACTGATAACAATAAAACATAACCCAGCACGTATATCGTTGATGCGTGGGTTTTACGCCGCTTTTAGTAATATTCCAGCAACATCACACATAGCACCTATGAGGGGAATCAAACCCGGGTCTTCGGTGTGAAGAACGAATGTTTTAACCACTTGGCTACCCCACCGCCCCAACTGTACAATGACACGTTATCATACAAATCACTTCTCTACAGCTTGCTCTGTTGGAAGCTACACTACTCCAGCTATATGACGGCGGCCCGTGCATAATGCAGTCTTTAGCACACTGTCTAACGGGATCAGGTGGTCAGGCTCGCTAGACTTGGTTGATACATGTCATCGTATCTCAGTTGCGCAGATTGATGCTCATGCTGCTGATCACTGGATTGTCTAGTCCAGACTCGATTATTTACAGCCCGACGCCATATAGCTGGAATATTGCTAAGTGCATTGCAAACCTAAACTCACTCACTTTAGCAAACTGTCTAGTAATGAATGACTTTATTGCAGTAGAGGGGCCACAGGACCATTATACAGTGCATTGTACAAAGATATAAATGTTGATGGAGCGCCGCACAGTTGACAGGTGGTATAATATTAGTCATGGTTAAGTTGGTGACACAAACGATTTACGTTTTTTCAGTGCAAGGAATACGTACTTTCCTAGACATTCAATGGTACATACATTATCTGATGTTAAAAGTAAATATAACTTATGTTCTGATGGAAATTGCCAATAATATCTTGGTAATAATGATTGTCTTAATTCGTTATAAAATGGGCACTGTAGAGCAAAATGTAATTCTGTTTCTACAGCTGGAATAATAAATAGCGGGCATAGGCGTTCCTCTCTCTTTAACCCTAGTTTCCGCCCCATTTCTATCATCAAGCAATGATTAGAACATCTATGAAAACAAAGTGCAGACTGTCTAGTGACTGACAACATCAGCATCGATCTGCACAATTAGGATACGATGACATGCATACCCAAGTCACTTTGTCTTTATTATCTTCTTACGTCAAGTAGTTGGTCAAGTTACTACCCGAATCCTGATGTGACCATCTGAGGATAGTCAAGACTGGGTATACATTAACACTGGCGTTATATATTAACGGTGAAGACGTACCTGCAGCCTGTGTTGAAGTCGACGTTATCTCCACCTCCGTACGCCAGCCTCTCCATTGGTTCCATGCATTTCTGGACCTCCCACACAGCTTCATGGCCGTACGGACATGCCCCAAATACTCCTGCAACAACGAGGATGGCGTTTCAGAGTTAGCTCTCAGACATTTACTGTCACATTTACTCAGACATCTGACTGTCACTTTTCTACCTGAGGATCGGCCATTCCTACTCAAGAGGTCGTGTAAGGTTGTCAATTATTTTAAGCTTTTGTGTTCTCGGTACAAGCAGAGTATTTCGATTTCTGTACATAAAAAAACGAGCATTATCGGGAAGTTCCGAATGGTAATGAAAGCTGTATTGTTGTGGATATTAATACATCCTGTGTTTTCTGAGCGCCTCGGCATCAGTACGGTACATCACTACAATTGACGGCATATTTGTAATGTTAGAAATTGATGATGTATTTAATACAGAGGCCGAAATGAGCCTCCTGTTGCTGTGTCTCACCTTAACCCTTATGTGACTCGGACGCGGAATCAAACAACCAACTTTCCGCTCATCAGGCTGGTGCTGTGTCCACTACACTAAGGTGGACATCTCAATACAAGCACTATGAATATATAGCTTAATATGTGATGGCATATTTTGATGATATAGACAGAACTACATGCTGACGTAAGCACCCATCTACGAGGGGTGAATGATAGAACTGCATGATGGAAATGGATTTACATTGTTTAAACATGGTCCACAGCACCACAGTAAATATACCATGATCACCATGATCTACACGACCAGAACACGTACATTAGATAGATAAAACGCGCTTACCTGCCACAGCCAGTAATACAATAAGAATGACTTTCATCTTGCTGCACGTGTTTCACGAGATTTTATACTCCTCTGGCTAGTCAAGCTCTCCGATATTTATATACATACAATTTAATTACATATTTTTAAGTTGATTGCGCGTGACGCTCGTGACATTTCGATGTGTGAGTGTGTCTGTCTGTCCAGCCTGTGTAATGACGAGGCGTTGTTTAAATCACCATCATCAATTGATGTGACATTAAGACCAGCCTTGAGTTTAGAGTGTCGGTAACATATGCACGCGTATACAGGAGCAGATGTTAGTAGATTACATCGCCCACTCGGGATGGGTCAAATTACTAATTAGTTCCGCATAATCTTAGAGATGAATGTTTCTTTTACTCCGAGAGAAATTTGGTTTTCAAATATTTATAAGTTTAGAACATGTCATTTTCACATCTATATTCAGTATGAGGTAATACATGTAGTTTTTCTCAGTTGTATATTTTGTTTACAATCCGTGTTCACTGCCCATGTTACGGGGGCAATTTCAGGTTACCCTATGGCTCCGTCTAGTGTCATGTCCGTTCGCTCACTCACTCACTGTGCCCGTTCATAACACTCTTGTATTCATTATTGACTTCGTGTTACTCTTCATAATTAAAGAAACTCTCGATGTTTAATTTATTAGTAATATTAGCCAAGATACAACTTGCTCGATAACAGTGTTAGTAGCTACACCGAAACGTCGCACTCATTGCAATAAAGAAGTTGACTATCCATAGAACTTGGTTTTCCTTCATCTATACAACTTCTAAAATGCCTCTCCAAGAAGATACAACTCCAATACACTCTCAGTCTTCAAGTCTTCAATGTTGGTTTAGTATGAGATACATGAGGGTTTTGTTGCTAAAACATAATATGTTAACTTGGAATACTGGCAAAGTGACATTAACCGCAGAGCATATTAAACTGACTGATAAAAACGAAGTCATTTAAAGCAGTCAGGAGGTTATGACGAACAAGCCAGGAATCAACTTACGTAGAAAGTATCTTTCATCCAGGCTGTAGTTTGATACAAGCTACTTAACATGAAGAAGTACTGAAATATTTATGTGAAAACTCCTAATGAGAGTAGGCCGGGGTTAGTTCTCTCTGGTAACGCTATTTAACAGTAAACACGCTTTGTCCATTCCCATCCAACCGTCGCAGGTGTTTCAAAACCTACGTGGTCATACATGGCGAGGCTAGAATCAGAAATGTCGAATCATAAAGAATGTAATAAGAGCTTTCAAAACTTGTTGGAAATTCAAATGAGACTATTTAACTGCTCATAGCAATTGAAAAAAGTGTATTTCTCAGTTGGGCGTGAAAATTACATTGACCTGACAATTATTCCCCTAAAAGTGACACGCACTTTATCGCCGTTGGAAGTAAAATTGGGCAAATTCAGTAATTATTACCCTAGGAGGGGCTATTACTCAAGGATGCTGGTGCTCAGGATCTGAGAACAATAACATAACGCTCTGCTCCAGCTGTTCATGGCTGTACAATTATGTATCTGGTTGCGAACGAAAACACGCATATTGATAATAACAAGTGACTCAACATCAGCTGGGGGCATCTTCCCCAATACAACAGATCAACGCTCCCACCAATAACAATGCAGGTCGTATCATTGAATTTTGTGCCCTTTTGACGCCGAAGTGACATAAATCATAGTAAAAATATTCGAATCTCCCTTACGAAATGTCGCGCCTGTACCAAGTTGTCGGACCCCAATTGTTTTTGGTGCCTTCGGTGTTGTATCTCTCAATCTCTTGAATGATATTGGGAGAGTACCCGGGTTTGCTGCCATGAAAATAACCCTTCAGATGCATCTTGGTTATTCAAAAGGCTACAATGCTTGAAAGTCCTCACTGTCACAGGTTCCTGGTGGGTTCGTCTAAGCAGGAGAAGTCTCACTGTGTGGGATGGCGCTGGTATGATGCGCCGGTAGGTGGCGCTAGTAGGGGCAGCAGTTCCGACATGATGAACGTGACACGTCGGACTATTTCAGGGCCACCTGGACCTTCAGTGCTGCATGTTATCATCACAAGAAATACCACACACCAGTGCCAGTGATGTAGTGTATTCCACGTAACATGAGCTTCACTTGGTTTCATCTGTAGGTAGATAACCTTAATTGTATCTTTTGTTACTAGTCTTCATGACTGATTCTGACGATGTTTTTAATGCTTTCTAGTTTGAGAGAGCCATCTTGGGACGTTCTGACATCACACAAATGTTGTCAATTTCTGTACCAAGGTCATAAAGACACTTACAGTAATCGCTCTGTAACGAGGCAACGTGTGGATATATAAATAATGTCTGCAGCTGTCAGTAATATCACACTTGTAACTGCCAGTGCTCAGGAGATGGTGAAGCAGCGACTCTCCCGTCGGGTTGAGATGGTGTCCAGCCAGCCTGGTCATACCACAGTCATGTTGTTGTCATCTGGTCGGAAACAGCGCTCACTGCTCCTACCTCAAACCCCCAAACAGGCCCAACCCAATCCCAACCACCCTCTTACAATATAAAACGGTAGGTATCTTATGAGTGTGTAACCGGGCTGTGATTCTTATGTTAATCTTTCCTCATGCTGAAAGTCTTAATAATATATTGCTTGTTTCAGTAAGTCATGTAAAATTACCTGTCAAAATCAAATCGCTAATCCCAGACTCGTTAGTCGGAAAACCCCTCTCCCGGGCGACTGAAGCAACGTGTCCATATACTGTTTGGAATTAAGGGGTGTCGTTGTATTAAAAATGCCATTTGAAGTACATACATCGTGTACATTGGATATATACGGTTGTACCAACTTGTCATTTCGAACTGTCATCCTTCAGTAATCCATGACATCTTTACAGCATGTTAATTACAAACATACAGCATTGTTTCAAAGGCGTTTTGTATTTCAAATGAATAAACACGCAGGTACACTAGACAGTGATACACATAGATATCTGGACAACACAGGTGGTCAGACACACAGCGTGGATATATTTGTAATGACATGGACACCATAAATCAAACAGAAATATACACTAATAATTTAAATGTTCACTTATTTCAGTGACACTTCGCTAACATCCTCGAGTATTCGAGATGTTGTCATCAAATCCAACTACTACAAATACCAATTAACCACCAAAGCTTCCATAGCAAATTGTTGTCACAGTCCCTGTCTCACTCATAACTAACTTGTCAGTATGGAGAGTGACGATACCAGACATTAACCAGAGCTTGTCAGAGGACACTGAGCAACCGACTATAGTCCGATGAATTGCAGTCTAACTCGAAAACTAATAAACATATAATACTCAATGAAATGCTGATCATAATCAAAACATCACACATATATTTATTTGCAGAATATATGTTCTAAAATTAAAAGGTTGTTTAACAAACTATCATTAAAATTTTGACACAGTTCACTATTTGTTACGAGGGAGGAGTGCAGAGAAAGGGAGAGCCAGGTGTTCGAGAAGCACATGCACAAGTGCCGATTAAGCTATTGATTCATTAATCTGTGCTGTGCCGTCTCCAGACTTTCTCGCACACCTGGCTGTCCCTTTCTCTGCACTCCTCCCTCGTACCAAATGGTGAACTGTGTCAATATTTTAATGACAGTTTGTTAAACAACTTTTTTATTTTTAGGACATAAATTCTGCAAAAGCTTCACAGAGTTGGTCTGACGTTTTGATTATGATCAGCATTTCATTGAGTATTTTATGTATATTAGTTTTCGAGTTAGATTGCAATTCATCGGTCCGCTTTTGAGCCAGACGGACTATACACTATACTCCCCGTTATGAGGATTGATACAAACAAATATAAACTAACTTTTCCCTGCCATGGACTACTAGACTAGGTTTTAGAATTTTAAATGGTAATTAAAACTGAAATTAATAACACATCGTGATAAGAAAGGCCAAGTTATTGAACCAGTATTAAATGTAGGCCATTGACAGCATCTTGAGTCAGATGGATTATGCGTATTCGACAAGGTATTCGGGATAAATCTGTCTGTCAGTGAATATCACATAGATCCTGGGTCTAAGCTCGTCATCACATGTTGAGTCAGCAAGTTTGGTCTTGTCGCTCAGGTCATACACAGGAGGGCGTGTCATGTCTTTGGCTCCCTTCCTTGTTCTCCCGACTAGAACCTTGGCCAGGAACATGAAGCGGTGCCTCCGAACGTCCTCCGTGGTGTAGTTGTCGGAGTACTTGGCATCGACTGCGAAATACGCCCCCAGTCCGTACAACGCCCCGACCCGATCACCCGACAGACGGAAGTCTATGTTCTGAATGGGGATGACTTTGGCAGAATCGGGGGTAGTTCCATGGAAGAGACTCAGCTCATTTGCCTGTCCCCTGCCGTACCGTTCCCCCATACCAGCTTTGGCTCTGAATTGTAAGATGATTTAATTAGACAATCAGTTACGAAAAATATGGATTTCCTTTTTAGACACTTTGCCAGTTACGTTCCTGAAGGTCATCGATACGACAGCTATACCACGTTTTCACAACAGTTAATTTGCCATACAGTATATCTTGGTGAGAATTACGGAGATGACAAATACTAACAGTCATCCAGAACTGACACAGACCGCAGATGTCCACCATTTTCCTAACCGCCATCACACTTCTATGGTGCTAACATACCTTGGTGTTTGAGGGCAAATCTCAGAAATGAGGATCGCCAAAGAAGGACAGAAATTACCTAGGGTGTTAGCGGTGTAACTAATGGACAAAACTGACTCATGGTGAACTGAACCGAGCCAAATGAACAAGATTTATGGGTGCCAACGTCTTGTTTATTGCACAGAGCGACGCTTATTCCAGAACGCCAATCAAGCAAAGACGACAACTTACACAGCGTACTGCTCCCACAGTTTGATGTTCTGAACACGCTGGACAGACACAATAGTTTTATTGTACAGCGTGTCCTGCATGCGTTTGGTGACAGTCCGGTGCTCATTGGCCGTTGTGGGGTCAGCAGCAGTAACGGGAACCAACTTCATGGTCTCGGTACCCATGTTGGTCCAGTGGGCGGGTGCTTGCCTTGTCTTTGACAACATGGACCTTGGTTGTCTGGCCAGTCTGTGAAGACAAACAGTAAGATATTCTATTGATGTCCGTGTTTATGCATGTACAGCTGGCGCACAGTTGGTTTCAGTGAGTGAGTTTAGTTTTTCGCCGCACTCAGCAATATTCCAGCTACATGGCGGTGGTCAGTAAATAACTGGATCTGGACCAGACAATCCAGTGATCAACAGTATGAACATCAGTGTATGCAATTGGGATACAATGACATGTCAACCAAGTCAGCGAGCCTGACCACCCGATCCCGTTAGTCACCTCTTGCGACAAGCATCGGTTGCTGGAGGTCAGTTCTAACCCGGATCTTCACGGGTTTTTGTTTCAGCATTATAAGTGTCAACCTCGCAGCCGATTCTCTTCGACTATGAAGGCCCCTGGACCTATATACATTCATTTACATAAGTTTTACAATATAGACATAACAGAGGGTTGAACATAAATGTGGGTACACACATATGAAACTAACGCCAGTGAACTGTTTAGTCTGCAGTCTTTCTCATAGGCATGGGCCAAAATATAAACTCAAAATGCTCCATCTATGTATACTATTTATTGAAAGAAATATCTCAACGTTAAATCTGATTCCATATAAGTCTCCAGCTCTATAGTTCGTTCATATGTGTTCATAAAACAAAACAGGAACAATCTTTTGCCATCTTCCTTCGTTGTATTTCACACCTAATAACCATGTTCTAAATTTAACGAGGCACCAGCGCAATTTGAAATCGACTGTTTCAGAAAGATATTTTGGGTGTGTGACTTCTCTATATAAGCCATAACTACTTCAAGTGTTGACCTCCATTCCTGTTTTCGACTGAACATATTTAAAAGTATTTTTAAAATATACAAGGTTACCAACAGCTGTGACAGCCATGACAAACCGACACCATAAAATAGGTCTCATTCTAAATCTGATTTTACATCGTCTATATATGTAACATCGGGTGTCACACCTTCCAGGTAAGTCATCTTCACGCATTGTAATGTCCTCCAAACATTTAAACAACGAATAGCTGAATTGATAAAATCGGGAAACCGCCACATTCACCATACGCTAGAGAATTGGGCCTGCGGGGAAACATTTAGAAATAACTTAGAAGCTAAGAGATGTATTTTCCAGACACAGTCATATTTTCTAAATCCCTATACTTCCGAAGCACATAAAATGATTGATTGTAATCAGGCTGTCAAATATGTTAAAGAAAACATCAGTGGGTCAATACCGTTTTGCATTTCATTAACACCTATGGCCAAGGGTGGACTGACCAATGATAATAACCGGGAAGGATCAGCGAATCCTTGTATAGTAAGGGAGGCAAATCTCCACAGTTCACCCTTGCCTATTTGGGGATGCATTATTGATCCTACTGATTCCTCAGGGAAGGTTTTAGCTGCATCTGTAAGATGGAGTTGACGGTGTGGACAAAACAAAAAGATACGATGAATTTTAGCCTCAAAGACAACTAGTCGCCAAACTTGAAATTATCAAACTCCAAATTACTTTTCTAGCATGACTCGGACTTCTTTGTTCTTCACGAGATCTAGTGGCGTCTTGCCGTCCTTATTCTTCAAGGTCACATTCCCTCCGTTCTCCGCTAGGTGGCATCGGATAGCAACTGCCGCGTCCTCGTCACGTGATCCACCCTTAAAGAGAGCGTCATGTGTTAGAGTCGGTCTACAAACGAAGTCTCCAGGGAGTGTATCACTCTGACGTCATGGAAAGAGACAGGGAATGTTGGTTTGACGCCCCGTTCCAGATTTGTATGTCACTCACATAGTGACGTGCAAACACGTTTGTGATACTGTCTGGACTAGTCTAATTCTTCCTCTGTTGTTACAGCACTCTTAAATACAGTGCAGCTGACGCTAACTGATCGTACTTTAAGGATCTGCTGCACAATACGTTGTTCACAACACTGAGTTTTTGTCACAAGTATTTTGACTGGTCTAGAATATAACCTCCAGTTTGAACGTTATAGTCAGTTGAAAGACATGTGTACTGAACTACCATATGTCTAATGTTAAAAAATGAGCAAGTATTTACAAAACCCAACATCTCTATATACACACACAATGAGCCGTGAGGGCATCTGCTAATGAACCAGCCGTTACACTTGTGTGCACACCCACCCGCTCTGACTGGGTTCGGTATCCCGGCTGCTTCGTTTCTTGGGAAGTAAACCCAAGTACAAAATACTGCACTTTTGATTTGCGATTGTACGCTTATAATTTTGTTTATATGTTTTTTCATAACCCGCAATGTATATTATATGTCATGAATAAGTGACAATTGTGTTTTAATTATGTTTGATTTTTTGGTTGCATGTGACCAAGTATGGTAATTTCATTCGAAACTACAATCAGAGCAACATCACATTCCTCGTTCCACGTGAAGACTTATTATCAAGTTCGCAACCAAACATGGACAGGTACAGGGAAGCAGAAAGTTGCTTTACATCCCGGTCACCAACACTGCAGCTATCCCGAGACGGTCAGTCTGTACATGGTCGTCTCTGGATAACTCTTTAGAAACATATCATGATGAGATATTACACTACTGGTCAGGATAACGTGAACTACAAGATACAACGTCGAATATTACCAGCATCTAACCAAACAGGTGGGAACTCAGCTCGGGTACATAGGTTACTGAAATATATCTTCCGCTATTTATTCCGCTATACACACGTTTATAGCAACCAGCAGACCGCACGGATGAGCCAATTGTCTATCGCGCCACAATGTGCTATGATAAATGTTGTGGCTGATGATTGTGTGTTCGAGTCCCCGATTCGCCTTTGTGAGGACTCTAGGTTTGTTAGCACAGGTCGTGGATTTCACTACAGTGTTACCCGTGAAGATCCAAGTTATAACTGATCTTCAGTAACCCATGCTTGTCATAAGAGGCTACTAACAGGATCGGGTGGTCAGGCTCGCTGGCTTGGTTGACACATGTCATCGTATTCCAATTGCGTAGATCGATGCTCATGCTGTTGATCACTGGGTTGTCTGGTCATGTCTCGATTATTTACAGACTGCTGTCATATAGCTGGAATATTGCTGAGGGCGGCGTAAAACTAAACTCACTCCTCTGTCTCCTGATCCAGACCTCCATCGGACGGACTGACCACCCAGTATATACGCCGCAAGAACGACTAATGCGGATGACGTGGTACAATGGGTGATCTGCATGATAGTGGCCCTCTTGAAGCGTGTGTTACGGCTCGTCCTGAGTGCGGCGTTATATTGATGAGGACGGCGTTAAACAACAAACCAACCAAAGTGATAATGTACGAGGCCTGCATCGCGTCCAACTTTCCTCCACAATAGCCTGACCTTAACCAAAACTCACTGTAACATCGAGTAAACATGGTGTATACTACCAACAAAGTCTGCACCCACCCATTCAACCAATCGCAGTTTCTGGGAGAATTATTTTGGCTTGAGTCATATCATCCTGTAATGAGTAATACTACTTTATTCAAGCCAAGACCACGTGTCTATGCGTTGGATGCTAGCTGTACGCTGTAGCAGCGGGTCAACAGAAATTATAGTGTCATAGCGTTCCAATCTATCTGTCACACCAGTAACGGCATGCTGCGAGCGTGACGTTTGCAACAACGGCGACATTTGTTTCTACAATGAAAAGTCATTGTATGATTTGATGTAGTTTTAAGGTTCTATTGGTGGTTTGGATAACAGAACATTAGTCTAAGTAACACGGGGTGGGTTGGGTTAGACAGGAGTTGTTAGTTGTTTCGTTGCACATAGTCTCTTGACACCAGAAATGGCTTCACACTTTGTGCCCATGTGGGGAATCGAACCCGGGACCTCGGCGTGACGAGCGAACGCTTAACCACTAGGTTATCCCACCGCCCCGAGTGGTGTAAGACGGGTGCAGATGAATATAGAAAGTGAATCGCAGGTTACACTCAATTGAGTAGGTACGATGTAAAGAATGATTTTGAATTTTGATTTTGAGTTTTCATTGTTTTAGGCTTCACTTATACATATTCAAGCTATATGACGGAGGTCTGTAAGTAGCCGAGTCTGGACCAGACAAACCAGTCTTTGACCTCATACACATCCATCTGGACAAGCATGAACTAAGTCAGCGAGCCTGACCACCGTCCACTGTCTCTTAGCAACACACAGGTTTCTGAAGGCCGAACCGTCATGGGTATGAGTGTGTCATCACAATATTGAGTCACTAGGAAAGGTAAATATAAAGCTGGTACTCACCATCCCGGCTATCTGGTCGTCCATGTGGGCGGCGTGTAGTGGTGTGTTGCCGTCATTGTCGCGGATGTTTACGTCGGCGTCTATAGAGACAAGTCTTATTTGTGTGAGTGAGTGACATGCACAAATTTGTGCCTCTTTTTCTGAGGTACATGTCAAACTATTTCGGGTGTGCCTACATCGGGAATCAAAACTTACGTTGGGAATCAGTACTTACGTCGGGAATCAATATTTACGATGAGAATCAATATTTACGTTGAGAATCAATACTTACGTCGGAAATCAAAACTTACGTTTGGATTCCATACTTGCTTTGGGAATAAAAATTTACGTCGGGATTCAATACTTACGTCGGAAATAAAAATTTACGTTGAAAATCAAAACTTACTTTGGGATTCAATATTTACGGGAATCGAAACTTAAGTTGAAAATCAATATTTACGTTGAGAATTAAAACTTTCGTCGGGCATCAATTTTTATCTTGGGAATCAAACTTTTGCTGGGAATCAGTACCTACGTTGGGAATCAACGCGGATCTGAGGTTGGTACGCTCTACGCACTGAACTAACCTACCGCCCAGTGAATATGTATACATACATGCCAGTCTATGCATGTGGACATGGTTTATCGGAGTATCAATAACGGTATACTAGAACACTGCGATCGGTGCCGATTTACAATGGTGATATAACCAGCGCTTCCAGCTGACAGATTTATGTAACCTTCGATATTTGTAACTGCATCTATATACATATACAACGAAATGCAAACATGTCTTATAGTGTCTTCATTTACATGTCTTTCTATACGTTTATATAAGTATATCTATATACAACGCCATACTCGATTCACTGAGCAGTTCCACCAGCTCCATGTTCCCCCGATGTACCGCCAAGTGCAGAGGTGTTTTGCCATTCTCGTCACGGGCATTCACATCGGCGTTAGCCTGGAATTATAGAGTTTCATTATGGTAGTTATAGAAAATAACGGCTGAGAAAAAGGCATATTCACTGGGTTGTGTAAACACTCATTCATTTCTGAATGCTTGAGGTCCAAAAATAAAATACAAAATGGGATTGTTCTGAAATAAATTGTTCGGAAATACTTTTTCCAAACCTATGACTTTAATACATTTGTATATATACAAGACTACCGGTTATTTAATAGCCGGTGCTTTGAACATTAAGTTAGGAACGCACTGCTAAACAAAACTGTAACAAACGCAAATGCAGGTATGTAAACAAAGTTCAAAGTTTTCTTGTGTACCATATTGTGACCCTTTGATGTGTTTGTTGTTGTTTACCTGCCACTATGGTTTTAGTCCCACATTAAACCGACACGCCGACAACTGAAATATTGTCTAAAGCAGCCTTAAACCTCACTCACGCCAATGAAAATGTATATTACACTTGTGACAGTGAGTGAGTGAATTTAGTTTTACGCTGCACTCAGCAGTATTCCAGCTATATGGCAGCAGTCTGTAAATAATCCAGTCTGGACCAGACAATCGAATGATCAACAAAATGAGCATCGATCAAAGCAATAGGGGTACGATGACATACACTGATGAGAAAACCGGCAAGTCCAACAAATTCATTCACGACAGCAATATGAAGAGGAGAGAGTTGTCCCCGACGTATCGTTGAGTTCACTACAGCAGGGTCTTTCTGTATCAGCTGGCGAGGGATTCTGGAAGACAGCAGTCAGTCTGTTATTCCATGTAAAACAGTAAACGTATTGGTTTCTGCGTACATGACGTATCAACAATAACAACACGGACAATTCAATAATCATCAGAAATCTGTAAGTATCCTCCCAAATAGGATGCACTCGTTATAAAAACATGAAATGGCAAATCCGTTGTTTGCTTAGAAAAACACGTGATGGCATTTATTCTAGGTCACAAGAAGGACTAAGGAAGGCCTGTGGAAGATGTTTAGGCCTTACCTTGTCCCAAAGTACTCTACACTCTGGGAGAGACTTTGACAAGCCAGGTTGAAGAAGAAGTTATACCACGCTGCATTAACCTCACTTACTCTACGCTCTGGGAGTGACTTGGGCAAGCCAAGTTGAAGACGTTATACCACCCTGCGTTAACCTCACTTACTCTACGTCCCCAGACAAACTGAGGCAGGCCTGATGGAAAGGGTTGAGGCCCTGAATCACCCTCACTTACTCTACGTCCCCAGACAAAATGAGGCAGGCCTGGTGGGAGGGGCTGAGGCCCTGAATCACCCTCACTTACTCTACGTCCCCAGACAAAATGAGGCAGGCCTGGTGGGAGGGGCTGAGGCCCTGAATCACCCTCACTTACTCTACGTCCCCAGACAAACTGAGGCAGGCCTGATGGAAGGGGTTCAGGCCCTGGGTGTTGCACAGCTGGAGGTTGATGTTCCGACACTGGAGGAGGACATCCACTAGGTCCTTGTCCTGAATGGTAATGGCGTCGTGGAGGGGCGTGTCTCCCTCCCCGTCCTGAGAATGCAGGATAACTTATCTTCAGTAAATTACGTTATTTTACATCACAGAATATATAAGGTGGTGGATAATATTGCCATTCAAGATTCGTGCATTTCTATATTTTGTCATACAACATATCTGCGAATCACAAATACAACCAACTGTTTTTTTCTGTTTCAAGAAATAAATACATTGTATAATATTACTCCTTCCAGTTATATCGAGAACAGCCCTGTTATCAACCATAGTTGTGCAATCCTTCCAAGCGTTTCATAGATCCGAATAGATCCGAATACTACTTCTTACACTCAGCCCACAGCGTACCTGGGTATTGGGATCACTCCCGTGTTTGATGAGGATGGTGGCGCAGGCTGCACTTGGGACCTCCTTGACGACAGCTAGGTGTAGCGGGGTCACGGCCTTGCTGTTTTTGATGTCAAGGTCGGCCTTTGCTTTGACCAGCGCTTCCACCACATCTTTATGGTCACTGCGTCAAAGGGAGATAAACGGTGTTGAATAAATAACCCTACTGACAAATGTAATGGTAAATATCGAGTACAAGATTACTGCATTCTACAGGGACGTGCATTCAGACACTAATACCCCACTCAGACACTGACACACCACTCAGACACTGATACCCCACTCAGACACTGAAACCTCACTCAGACACTAATACCCCACTCAGACACTAATACCCCACTCAGACACTAATACCCCACTCAGACACTAATACCCCACTCAGACACTGATACCCCACTCAGACACTGATACCCACTCAGACACTGACACACCACTCAGACACTGATACCCCACTCAGACACTGAAACCTCACTCAGACACTAATACCCCACTCAGACACTAATACCCCACTCAGACACTGATACCCCACTCCCACTCAGACACTAATACCCCACTAGACACCCCACTCAGACACTGATACCCACTCAGACACTGACACTCAGATAGCCCACTCCAGACACACTAATACCCCACTCAGACACTAATACCCCACTCAGACACTAATACCCCACTCAGACACTAATACCCCACTCAGACACTAATTCCCCACTCAGACACTGATACCCCACTCAGACATTAATAAACCACTCAGACACTGATAGCTCACTCAGACACTAATTCCCCACTCAGACACTAATACCCCACTCAGACACTGATAGCTCACTCAGACACTGATAGCTCACTCATACACTAATTCCCCACTCAGACACTAATACCCTGCTCAGACACTGATACCCCACTCAGACAATAATACCCCATTCAGACACTGATACCCCACTCAGACACTGATACCCGGCTCAGACACTAATATTTCACTTAAACACTGATACCCCGCTCAGACACTGATACCCACTCAGACACTGATACTTCACTTAAACACTGATACCCCACTCAGACACTGATACTTCACTTAAACACTGATACCCCACTCAGACACTGATACTTCACTTAAACACTGATACCCCACTCAGACACTGATACCCACTCAGACACTTATACCCCACTCAGACACTGATACCCCACTCAGACACTGATACCCCACTCAGACACTGATACCCCACTCAGACACTGATACCCCACTCAGACACTGATACCCCACTTAAACACTGATACCCCACTCAGACACTGATACCCCACTCAGACACTGATACCCCACTCAGACACTGATACCCCACTCAGACACTGATACCCCACTCAGACACTGATACCCCACTCAGACACTGATACCCCACTCAGACACTGATACCCCACTCAGACACTGATACCCCACTCAGACACTGATGCCCCACTCAGACACTGATACCCCACGCAGACACTGATACCCCACTCAGACACTGATATCCCGCTCAGACACTGATGCCCCGCTCAGACACTCATATCCCGCTCAGACACTAATACTTAACTCAGACACTGCTACCCCGCTCAGACACTAATATTTCACTTAAACACTGATACCCCGCTCAGACACTGATACCCCGCTCAGACACTGATACCCCACTTAGACACTGATACCCTGCTCAGACACTAATACCCAACTCAGACACTGATACCCCACTCAGACACTAATATCCCGCTCAGACACTAATACCCCACTCAGACACTAATAACCTGTTCAGATACCCTAGGTTTATCATCTAAACATTCATCGACACCTGGATAGGGAATCAGACCATCGACCCTCTTCTGGACCACTCTGTGTGTGTGTGTGTGTGCGTGTGCGTGTGCGTGTGCGTGTGTGTATGTGTGCCATGTTATTACAATACGTGAGGGTTTATGTTTCGATGGGCAGCCACAGTCGTCAACATTGAAAGCCCCATTTCTCTCGTTGGTCTGATGTATTGGATGACAGATACGGGTAAAATGATGGATCTCTGTCCACTGGTAATCCAGGATCAAGATTCACATCAATTATTGGATTGTTCGGCGTTAAGCAAACACACACAGAAACCTCTTATTCCTAAATGAAACATTGTTGTTGTCACCACCCCCTCCTCAAAACACGCACACACACACACACACGCGCACGCACGCACGCACGCGCGCGCGCATGCACACATACACACACACACCCTTGCTACATGAGCAGTCAGTACCAGTGGCCATTATGACAGGATTACCTTGACACAGCATAGTGCAGAGCAGTATTGCCATCTTTGCTGACCCGATTCTTATCACTTCCGGCACTCAGAAGTGACGTCACGATCTCCAGGTGACCCCAGAAGCAAGCCGTGTGCAAAGCAGTCACCCCTCCGTGTCGTCATCAATCTGAAACATCAATGGCAGAGCTGTTTGTGTTTTACGCCGCACTGACCGTGGTCTAAATTTTATCAACACGCTATACTGGGAGAGCCACTCTGCAGGAGATAGACAATGGGTTTTCTAGGGATTCCCAAGTGTTTTGAGTTAAACGCTTTACAAATTCAGAGACCCCTTGCAATGAAGTGTGATATATATTTTTACAAAAGGTTGATAGCAACATGTTGTCTTTTCCATACTGATTTCTTGTACAGTTTAAAACATTTACAGGCAGCTTGGGCTATCCGGGGTAATAATGACTAGATTATGTGCTTAGAGCAGGGTATCTAGCCTGGAAAAGGCGCGTTATGAACATTCTCATTATTAGTAGTAGTAGTAGTAGTAGTAGTAGTAGTAGTAGTAGTAGTAGTAGTAGTAGTAGTAGTAATATTACACAGCAGCAAGCGTCCTTCCGGAGAGCGGAAGGTCGCGGGTTCGATCCCCGACCGCGTCATACCAAAAGACGTTAAAATATGGTACTTGTTGGTCCCTGCCTGGCGCTCGGCATTAATGGGTACAACAAGGACTGGTCGGCTCGGAGTCAGTATAATGTGTCTGGGTGGGGTATTCATGCTTCACTGCGGCATGGTATCTCAGTGGGCTAGCACTATAAAACCAGCTTAAGTCTGGGCTAGTACAAGCAGCCGCACATACACATACACACGCATGTACTTCGTCATATGAGCGAAATATTCTCAAGCACGACGTCAAACCCAATTTCACCTCACCTCACACAGCAGCAACATATTCTGTTCCGTATTGATTTTCTGTTTGTAAAGTTGTCAATGAGTACACGTATCACCTTAATTGTTCGTAGTAGTAGTAGTAGTAGTAGTAGCAGCAGCAGCAGCAGCAGCAGCAGTAACAGTAGTATTAGTAGGAGGAGGAGGAGGCAGCGGAGAAAGACAATATATGTCTTATATAATCCAATACCTTGTCAATCAGTTCACCTGATGACGGGACCTGGAATGGTCTCGAAACGTCGTGAGGGAAATTATAAAGAAGTTTAATCCATAAAAATATCTTGGATACCTTGGATTTGTCCAGAGATCGGAGGACTGCTTTGACTTTGTCCTCATCTCCGTCTCTGGCAGCTGCAATAAGTTGTTTGGAGGACGTCTGAGACAGGGAGACGCGCAGTTTGGCCAGGAGGTCAACTATGTCTGCAGCAAAACACGAAATTATATATATGTATGTCTCCAGTCGTTATTCCCTGTAAGCCAGAATAGGCCTGCAAGGATGTCCCGATGTCCCGATGTTTTACCACGGGTTTGTGTCATCATACCAGTCGGCGTCAATTGTTGGTCAGGATATCGATCATTGGTTGGACTGTTCCAGACTGTACTATTATAGACTGCTGTATACATCTAATATTGCAACCGTGAAGATGCTTGTCGTAAGAGGCGACTAACGGGATCAGTTGGACAGGCTCGCTGACTTGGTTGACACATGTCATCGGTTCCCAATTGTGTAGATCGATACTCATGCTGTTGATCACTGGATTGTCTGGTCCAGACTCAATTATTTACAGACCGCCGCCATATATCTGGATTATTGCTGAGTGCGGCGTAAAACCAAACTCACTCACTCACTCTAATATTGCAAAGAAGCATAAAGCTTGATCTCCCCTGTTATATCACCTCCACCACCTGAGGATGTTGTCCGCTTGGATGATGTCGGAGTGGTTGTTGTTGGCCTGTTGTCAGAGCTGGGTGGACTAACTACTGGGGGAGCTTTCTTGTCCATGAAGGTACAGCTGACTGGATTGAAGACCCAGGTCCGGCCGTCGACCTTGACCTTCAGATCACAATCACTCTCGATGGAAATCACCTCCCCTTGTTTGCCGAGGCTCTGATGATGAAAAGTAGCACTTGAGTCAGTGATATTATAATCATCAATAGTTCAGTCATAATTAGGGGCATTCTGACAGAAAGATTCTTTAGAGGAATTCGTTTCGCCTGAAGACTAAATCTTCAAAACAATCACCCAGTCTACGCAAGATGCAACAAAATGTGTAAAATAGATGAGAGTAATCACGACTCGTCCAGGTATATTTCCCGTGTGGATGCAGACTTTGATCATTTACTCTATGTTTGGATCTGATTCGGCTCTTATTTCCTTTGTCTACCTAAAACCCACCAAATCATAATTCTTGAACTTTTTATACGGGTGTTTCATATATATTCTGCATGTCGATGTAGGGATTAAAAGTATCGGCTCAATTCTATTAAACCAAGCATGGTGTTCCCTTGGGAATTGAACTGTAGATCGTAATTTCGAAACCAGGAAATTGGCCTTATCCCGACGTTTGTTTCCCCAACTGAAATGCATCTACATACGTCTTCCATCTGGTCCGTCCAGCCGCCATGTCCCACCTGGAGCTGCACCGCCGAGTTGAAGTTGGACGTAACCTTCACGATGTCACCAACCTCAAACGAATGCACCTGGAAATATCCAACAGAATTTAGCCTTTAACATCATTCATTCACAATTTAGCCTTTCAAATTGTGTTTCTGGTGTATTTCATTTAGCTTTTTTTCGATCTAGATAGGTACAACATTATGAAGCTTCCTCTGCCTCCTGACCCGTGACAATCCGGATTAGAATATTGATCTTCAGTATCCCATGCTTGTCGTAAGAGGACTGGGTGGTCAGGATCGCTGACCTGGTTGACACATGTCATCGGTTCCCAATTGTGCAGAGCGATGCTCATGCTGTTGATCACTGGATTGTCTGGTCCAGACTCGATTATTTACAGACCGCCGCCATATAGCTTGAATATTGCTGAGTGCGGCGTAAAACTAATCTCACGACTCGTCCAGGTTTATTTCTTTATGTGGATGCAGATTTTGATAATTTACTCCATGATTGGATCTGATTCGGCTCTTATTTCCTCTGTCTACCTAAAACCCACCAAAACATAATTCTTGAACTTTATACGGGTGTTTCATCTATATTCTGCATGTCGATGTAGGAATTAAAAGTATCAGCTCAATTCTATTAAACCAAGCATAGTGTTCCCTTGGGAATTTAACTGTAGAACGTCATTTCGAAAACAGGAAATTGGCCTTATCCCGACATTTGTTTCCCCAACTGGAATGCATCTACGTACGTCTTCCATCTGGTCCGTCCAGCCGCCATGTCCCACCTGGAGCTGCACCGCCGAGTTGTAGTTGGACGTGGTCTTCACGATGTCACCAACCTCAAACGAATGCACCTGAAAATATCCAAACAGAGTTACCCTCTAACATCATTCATTCACAATTAAGCCTTTCAAATTGTGTTTCTGGTGTATTTCATTAAGGGAATTTTCGATCTTTTATAGGTACAACATTATGAAGCTTCCTCTGCCTCCTGACCCGTGAAGATCCGGGTTAGAATATTGATCTTCAGTATCCCATGCTTGTCGTAAGAGGACTGGGTGGTCAGGATCGCTGACCTGGTTGACACATGTCATCGGTTCCCAATTGTGCAGATCGATGCTCATGCTGTTGATCACTGGATTGTCTGGTCCAGACTCGATTATTTACAGACCGCCGCCATATAGCTGGAATATTGCTGAGTGCCGCGTAAAACTAATCTCAATCCTCTACCTCCTGATCCAGACCTCCATCGGACGGATTCACTACCCAGTATATACGCCGCAAGAACGACTAATGAGGATCGGGTGGCTGCAATGGTTGACCTGCGTGGTAGTGGCGCCTGGTTTGTCCTGTCCGGGCTAGATAGTCTAGGTATTAACGCTGGCTGTGGCGTAAAACAACATAGTTTGACTGATTCTGTAACTGTGAATTACCTTAGCGATAGAGTTGGACATGAGAGGCCATATCTCCGCATCTTCGTACTGCACGCGCACATACGCCTTCCCTTCCTCGGAGGGGCGAACAACTGTACCCACGTCATCCAGGCACTGTGTACAGGGGAGGTAACTCATGGTAGCGTGTTCACAATTCAGTAGGTATGTACATGACGTTACGAATAATTACTTCAGTATTTTGAAAGGGGTGGGGTACATTTTACCTTATAAAGATGATAAGTAAGAATATATTCCGAAAAACTGTGCTCCTCAAAACCTAGATGTAGATATCCGTATATGTTCCATTTATATGAACCACTTCTAAATGCCATTCAAAGTTTCATTATTAGTGTTACCCATGTTCAATTCTTGTGGTGCCAACCCTTAACACAAGTGGAAGGCAAAGATACCACCCACTCTGCTTAGTTGACCAGGACACACCTGGATGGTTACCCATTATTTCATATCAATTCTCAAATTCAAGGTGGAAAAGCAAATGCAACACATTATTGACAAAGTTGGTGTTACATTTACTAACTGGAGACGAATTCATTTCATAAAGCAATGTGTGAGTAACATGACAGGAGTCAGCATATCCTGACACAGAAGGACATATCTAGTAACATGACAGGAGTCAGCATATCCTGACACAGAAGGACATATCTTGTAACATGACAGACAGGAGAAGGACATCAGCATATCCTGACACAGAAGGACATATCTAGTAACATGACAGGAGTCAGCATATCCTGACACAGAAGGACATATCTAGTAACATGACAGGAGTCAGCATATCCTGACACAGAAGGACATATCTTGTAACATGACAGGAGTCAGCATATCCTGACACAGAAGGACATATCTTAACATGATCAGTAGCATATCATGACAGGTAACATGAGTCAGCATATCCTGAACATGACAGGAGTCAGCACAGAAGACAGAGCATATCCTACACAGTAACATGACAGGAGTCAGCATATCCTGACACAGAAGGACATATCTAGTAACATGACAGGAGTCACACAGAAGGACATATCCTGACACATATCCTGACACAGAAGGACATATCTAGTAACATGACAGGAGTCAGCATATCCTGACACAGAAGGACATATCTAGTAACATGACAGGAGTCAGCATATCCTGACACAGAAGGACATATCTAGTAACATGACAGGAGTCAGCATATCCTGACACAGAAGGACATATCTAGTACATGACAGGAGTCAGCATATCCTGACACAGAGTCCTGAGTAACATATCCTGACACAGAAGACAGGAGTCATATCTTGACACAGAAGGACATATCTAGTAACATGACAGGAGTCAGCATATCCTGAAGGACACAGAAGGACATATCTAGTATACATGACAGGAGTCAGCATATCCTGACACAGAAGGACATATCTAGTAACA